ATGTCTCCGCTTCGACTGCTCTTAGGGGAATTTCCTTGTTTCTAGTCTTAAAATAATTCCCTTATGTATTTTTTTATCAACTTTTCTATGCAAATTGAAGATGTGATATTTGTTTTGTAAATTTCCTGTAATCATACATTTGTCTGAATATTACCCTTCTTTTGCCTCTTTTATTTTTCTTTTTATTACACTTTGTAGCTGTTCGTATCTTATCTCGTTGTTGTTTTTAAAATTTCGTCGCTTTTTTTTATTGATTAACGAACAATAACAAAAGGATAATAATAAAAGAGAAGAAAATAATAATATTTAGAATATTAAATAATAAGTAAATTTGACATAATTGTAGTCTTTTAGAAACAAATTTCATAATTTACTGACAGAGGATGATAATCGGACTTTTGCGTATTGTGAATCTGGAAGAAGAAGAAGATCACACTATGACCTGTACTTCTTTACTAAGGAACAAACATAAGAAACACACCAGCATAATTACTCGAAACAATATAGTCCTGTCAAATAGATGACATAAAGAAAAAAAGCTGATATGACACTGAAAGAATGGAACTCACGATAACAAATGGGACAATACGAACACGTGGATACAAATAGGCGACCAAGTCTGACCCCGATTTATTAATATACATATGGACTGAAAAGACGAAGAGGAATAATATTTGTAACGGTTTGTTCTTTGTAATATATTTTGGGTGTTTTCCGTGTTTATAACATAAAGAACTATTATACTCAAAACTTAAATTTCTAGGTTTATCTGGCCATTAAAGTCAGCAGTGTAAATATTTGAAAGAGTACATCGTTAAAAAGGTTTTTATTGTGTTCGGTTTTTATTGGGTCACGAAATCGTATAATATAGTTACTTTTAAGTTCCGCCTTGAAGGTTAGGATTTACAAATAAATTAAGGTGTTGAAAAAAACCATTATTGTGTATAAAACAATCACAATAATTATTACAGATTGATAACAAAATTATCTTTTTTTTTAATAATAAATTTATTAAAAGAAAGATTGGACTTAAAAAGCCATGAAGTTAATACCCATAATATAAATCAAGACAATTAAAGTGATAACAGAAATAAAAGATTAGGGGAAACCAGTGTCAATTTCATGTTCAGGGCAAAAAGTGTATCAAATTTTTTAATTGCAGGTAAATCAAGTAATTGGCGGTGTACGGCAGCCTTTTGGGCCATCAGTGGATGTGTTCCACTACATGTGTTGGCACTAGAAAGAAAAGAGCTATATGAGAGAAAAGACCTAAACCTTACTATAGTCGAGAGAAGACAAGGGAAAGGTCAATTAAAATATGGCAAGAAGAATGTAACGAGGTGGATGTGGCACAGTAGACAAAGATGCTGATCCCGAACATAAGAGATTGGAAAGACTGTGGTCACAGGCAACTGGATTATTTCCTAACGCAGGTCCTCACAGGACTGGAGTTTTGGAGCCTACCTCTCTAGGTTAGGAAAGGCTGACATAAATAAATGCCTATACTGCGGACACTTGGACACTGTGACACAAAAGAAGAAATGCACAGAGAGGAAAAAATACATGTGTGAATTTTGTTACAGTGAGAGCAATGATTGAGAAAATGATTAAAAATAAAGCAGGTTGAGCTGCGTGAGTCAGACTGCGAGAAAAGAAGAAAATACTATACTGAATACGAAGTACGAGCTATTGCGGGGATTATCAAGAACGATTCTTGCACTTAGATCAGTAAGGCAGCGTCCTGGACTGTGATGACTTTGGAAGATTCCAAACCCCCTCTATGAAGACGAAAAAAGGTAATTCAAGTAATTGTACAGCTCAATTGGATAACAAAAATAATCAGAAACTAGAAAAATCAATAAATATATTATATATCTTATATGCTCAAAAATAATAACGCTTTACGACAAATCCAGTCTTCCTTAAAGATCGCTTCCAAAGCTTTGACTGATAAACCAGGTGGAAGTACCCAAGAAATTGGAGATTCATTATGTCTTGATTCACTATTTAAACGAGCAAAACCTGCAAACTTTCCACTTTCTTCAACAGAAAAGGGGTCCACTTCTGGAACGGTCCTTCTTGTGCCGCGATCGTTGCAGTTGACCGGAAGAATT